GTAGAGGTCAGTGATTCATCAGTCTTAGGTAACACCCAGTGCTCATTCCATCATGTGCCCTCCTTAATGCCCATCACGGAGTTACCCCATCCCTCCACCCCTCCCCTCCAGCAACCCTCAGTTTGTTTCCTGTGAATAAGAGACTCTTACGGTTTGTCTCCCTCTCTGATTTCATTTTGTTTTATTTTTCCCTCCTTTCCCCTATGATCCTCTGCTTTGTTTCTTAAATTCCACATATGAGTGAGATGATATGGTAATTGTCTTTCCCTGATCGACGTATTACCCTCTAGTTCCATCCATGTCATTGCAAATGGCGAGATTTCATTTTTTTTGATGGCTGAGTAGTATTCCATTGTATATATATCCTAACCCAAATGTGCCTCTCAGGCTTCGGCTCTCGCTGTCCCGCTGCCTGGAAGCCTCTTCCTCCTGGTAGACACATAGCTGGCTCTTTGTCATCCTTCTGTGGTCAGCTAGAATGGCACATCCTCAGGGAGCACTTGCCCAGTTTTAAATTCTCCTTAGCAAGTAGCACTACCTAAAACCATCTTTCTTATTTACTAATGTGTTTACAGGTGTATTATCTGTGTTCTCCCACTAGATTCTAAACTCCGTGAGTACAAGAACTTTTTCAGCACAAAGCACATAGGGAGGTTTTCAACGAAGTCTCATTTAATACTGAATGAATGAATGAATGAATGAACGAACATCCACTTTGCAGGTGAGTTTTTTTTTTTTTAAGTTCATTAGCTTTAATTAGTACAAAATTATAAACAATTTGGGCTAAAGTAGTAAATTAGTAAAAGTAGCAAGACTTGCTTACTTATACAATCTTGGCTCTGAATGCCTATTTCAGGTGATAAGGTCTTTCTATCTCCTGATGTAGGAAGGGTATCTTTCCTATTGGAGATTTATTTTCTGCTATCTGGAGATAAAGAGGGTCAGAGTGTTCTTCCTACACTGGCTGTTTCTTAAATAAGTTTAATTCAAAATAACAGGACAAAGTGTCATATTTTGGGGTGGCCTGTCCTGGGCCCCTAGAGTTCCCTAGAAACTTCCCTAGAGACTTTACATACTAAAGTCTGAGCTGGTCGATTGTTCTGTCTCATGGAACCAGTCTCTTAGTGTTGACAATAGGTCAGTTCTATTAAACCCCTTTCAGGAGGTAGTGATGCATGTGTATTCCCAAAGTTAGGCTTACGGTTCAGTCAGGTATTAAGAGGCATTTTGAGAGAGATTCCAGACCCTGGAGAGATCAGGGAGGGGAAAAAGATAGATGTTTCAATTCTGCTTCCAAAGGTACAATTTATCAAATTGCTGTGCGTCATATTTTTTTTTACAGGTAAGTCCAAACTTTATTTAAAACTACATCTTAAATTTAACAATACCAGGGCGCCTGGGTGGCTCAGTTGGTTAAGCGACTGCCTTCGGCTCAGGTCATGATCCTGGAGTCCCGGGATAGAGTCCCACATCGGGCTCCCTGCTTGGCAGGGAGTCTGCTTCTCCCTCTGACCCTCCTCCCTCTCATGCTCTCTGTCTCTCATTCTCTCTCTCTCTCAAATAAATAAATAAAATCTTTAAAA